CTAATGCTGTTGGCCTGCTGTGTTCATCCAGCTCTACACCTTGCTTTCTCCAGATTATTATCTGGGTCCCTGGATTAACAGTCTAGCGATACTACTACTAGGCCTTTGCCTAGTATCATCTCATCAATATGGACCTCACATTTCTTTTAAAAAAAGCCCATTCATGTGAACAAGACGATACTGTAGAACTAATCATGTATTACATTTTTAATTTTAAAAATTAAAATACATAACGTACTGATTTAAATATTTACAGATGCACAGTGGAAGGGTGGTGTGTGATATTATGTTGGAACATCAACAAGTGACATAGTCTGAATATATTTAGCTACTAAGCTTGGTCACGTCATCCTATGGGGATACTGAACACAAACCACATGCCTTTCCAAAGAAGAGGAATATCAGAGGGCTGTCACTTTTTTTTGCCTCCAAGCATCTAATAAAAGCAAATGGCAGAGAAACACCCATTTTTACAACTTGCATAATATATGGCAGGAGACTCATTATTTTTTAATAAAGGAGATTGTGGTCATTAAAAATGAAACCTCCTAAAGAAAAAGCTCCAGAATAATTTTACTGCGCACAGGTTTATATTAGTTATTATGCTGTAACAGTATTAGAATCAATTCCCGTACCTCGCAAATTCCATTAAATTTGTGTTATTTTGGCTAGAGTGGCAACTGTTCTTGCTTGGTACTACTATAGTGTTCTGGCAAAACTGAGTCAAACTTCCAACATCAATCCACCTTAAATACATTAAATAATTTAAACAAAGACTTACATTTATACAGAACTTTCTACAACCACAGAATGCCCGAAGCTGTTTGGGGAATGAATTATTTTTGAAGTACAGTCACTGCTGTAAAGCAAACTCTCACAAATAGCAGTGCGATAATGACAAGACGATCTATTTTGGATATGATGTAGGCATAAATGCTCATCAGCACAGCATGGATAAACTTTCCTTCTCCAAAATAACCTCATGGGATCATTTACATCTACTGAAGGGGACTAAAGGGACCTCAATTTGAAATCACATCCAAATAATGGCACCTCCCACAGTAAGCAGCACATCCTCTCACTACTGCACTGCAGTGTCAGCCTTGATTGTCTCACTCAAGACCTGAATTGATAATTGAATCCAACTCCTACTTGAAGCAACAAGTGTTCTAACAGCAGAATAATGATGGGCATGTAACAGAGGTCAGGAAATTAGGGAAATGAATGTCATACTAGTGTAAATTTAAACTGACCAATCAAGCAAAAGCAAAATCAAAATTAGAATTAGTCACCTTATTGCAGGCAAGAGAAACTTAATTATCCAAACTAAAAGTACTCAATTCCTAGATAGGATTATTTAATATAAAAACTGATCTAGTTAGATAAAGTAGAGCTTTGTGTTGAAGCAAAGAATACTCTGCACTCTTACAAAACAAAGTGCATGCACACAACTAGATATATTTAGAACTTTAATTGCACAGGTCAAATCTAAACAAGAAAAACAACTGTTGCTCTTGGAAGACTGAAGATTGGGAAAGATCGGGTTAAGAGAAAGAAAAACACAAAAGCAAAAGGAAAATAAAGTCTCCAACACAAATTAATTTTCTGAAGGAAAAAGACTCCACCACTTATGCTATGAAAAACTGATTTATTCCTGAATGAACTTGCCACGTTTTCTGCTGCCTTTAAGTGAGGATTACTGGGTAACACTGCAACTTCATGCATTTCAGTGCCGAGTCCATTGGCAAGGACTGTTGCAGCGTACCGCTTGGAGCACAGTATCTGTGACAATAACTTTCATATTTCCATGCTTAACATAGGTGCGTTTTGGAAGTTTGCTGTCTGATTTACTCCATAATGACAGTGATTGTGGACAGCCCCATCATTATTATTAACATATAACCAAAAGCAGTTGACCAAGGTATCACGTGTGGTACATCACTTTGAAGACAGTGTACTAATAAGCAATCCTAGATTGTAAAACTCCTGCATACTTGGCCAATAAAGGTAATGTTAAGTTTCAACTGTCTTGTATCCTGTTGCCTTCTGAAATTTAAAAACTAGTAGTCCTTCAAAAGTAGTTTAATTATCCTTTCTGCATCCAAAAGCTAAAAAAATGTTTATGGAAAACATTCTGTCTACTTTCAAAGCACTTTTCACTTTCATTTATCCTTCCCTCTAAGCAGTTGTTTCGATATTGATTTTTCATTACTTATAATGTCAATTTTCCTCCTCATTTCTTATTAGATATTTCCTATTGCAACTTGATTACCATAAAACACTCTAACACTATTAACAAACATTGCATTTAATATACCTTATAAAATGGTTCAACGGCATGCTGAACAGTAAGTGATATCCACTATCACTACTGCTATTTCCACTGAAATTGATATTTAACATGTTTACTTTAAAGTAAAACACTGATGGTAATGAATTATGTTTTCCCCCTGAAAAGATCACTTAAAAAAATACATAGAAATATATCAGTTAGTTAATTTGGCTTCCACAGAAATGTTAAGTGTGATGCATAAACAGAGACATTGCAAACCCTTCACTTTGACTGCATCATTATAGTTGGGCTTTGTTATTCGCTCAATAACCAAGTAACAAGGGCTATGACATTTTTAAGTAGGAAACCTCAGGATTTAACAGATTAAAATTTAGGTCACATAACCTGATTAAAATCCATAACAGCTTTTAGTTACTACAGTTAAGCCTGGTGTCAGCACATTAACAATAATTATAAATATTTTAGCTACTATTTTGTTAAGACACTACAGATTTTCAGATATAGCAATCCGCTTTTCTCTCTCGGAAAAACTTGGAAGTTGCATTTTAAACTGACAGAAAAATATCTTATTGTTTCTGTGAACAGTGCTGTCATTCAATGGCCAATGACTATAAGACTGTTGATTCGCTGAAGCATATTTAGTCGGAAAATTCTAAGCAGCTATGGTCCCAAAGGACCATAGTCATGACAGGGAGTGAGAGAGATGAGGATCACCATGCCTCAGGTGAGGGGAGGGCTTGAGACAAAGGGACCTTCATGGTAAGGTAACTGGTACAGGAATTGAATCCTGTATGGGAGTGAATGGTGTCACTGCTTCACAAACCAGTCATCCAGCCAACCGAGTTAGGTGACATTGGAAAATACAGATGAAATAGCTTGGTAGGTAGCCAGATTAATAGTATATTGCCAATCTCACTGTTGCAGGGAAATACCGAATCTCCCCTCCAATACATTTAAGTTTTTTGTTTAAATCAATCCTTTGGCTGAGATAACGTGGACTGAGTCATTATTCCAATTACAGATTTTCATGGAATTGCACAATTCCATTGAAATTAATAGTAAATTTAGTTTTTACTTCCTTGATGTGATGTAGATGTTGCTGGCAAGCCAGAATTTATTCTCCATCCCTAAATGCTGAAGTGGGAGTGAACCATTTCCTTCAATACAACAGACTGGCTTTCTGCGCTATTTCAGAACTAAGTCAATTGCTGTGAGGCTACACATACAGGCTGGATCAGTTAAGGACAGCAGATTTCCTTCTCTCAAAGGCATTAAGAGATTACATTTTTTTTTTCTTGAGCAACAACCCAGTAGTTTCACGGTCAGCAGAAGGGGTAATAGATCCTTAACTCCATTAATTTTAATTAATTTTTGAATTAATTCAATTACTGTTGCAGTTGGATGTGAACTCACGTTTGGGATCATTAATCCAGACTTCTGGATTACCAGTTCAATAATATTATACTATCCTACTGTACCCTGATCTCTTAAGAATGAGAAATATTTGCAATACATTGAAGCTCTATGTAGCACTTGGATTCGTAACTGATATTGAGCATATATAGAAAAAATATTCATAATGGAATGTTAAAATCCAAACTGTATCCAATACCACTTTTTTGTTCAAAGCCCTGGCTACTGTCAATGGAATGGCCATTCAAGTTTTCTTCACAGGGTATGGGGAGTAGTATAAGTGCTTGTATCAAAATTGGGAAGTTTAAATGTTCTCCCTAACCAGTGGACTTAAGAAGAATTACAATAGTTTTTTTTTTGCATTTCCCTCACCCAACAAGCTATTACACATAACAAGCAGAATGAAAATCAAAATACAGGTTCAAAATTTTGCAATATATTAACCTTAGAAATTGGAGCTGTGAAATTTACACTGGAAAAATCTGTATGACTCAGCTTGTAGTTTTATTGAAGACATGTAGTAGATGATTTTAAAACATTTGTTGAAAAATATTTTTTAAGAAATATTTGAGAAAAGACAACTAAATACTTAAGTTTGTAACTCAAGCTGGACAAGACATGAATTTTAGAAGTAAGATGCAAACCAAGAATTCTGAATTTCAAACATTTTTAATAAATTGAATTTGATCACAAAGAGATTGACTGTATACACATTCTGTAATTCAGGTTTTTAAGAACATTCTTATCCACAAAGATTTATGCTTTTACATTCTATTTAGAAGATTATATTAGTAATTTAAGCTACTAAAAAAACCTTGAATTAAGCAGGGGAGTGAAATATTGTACTCCGTTTCACTGGTTTCCTGGTGGTGGAAAAGGCATCAAAAGGTTCTAATTATTGGGCTACATTTCAAAGGCCTGGACTATTCAATACTATAGTGGGTGAAATGACATTGTGACATACCAAAGGATCTCCCCCAACCACACATTGACAAGGCATCAGGGTCCTGACACATGCTAACAAGAGTCAATTTAAATGCCTCCCCCAAAATTAATCAAAATCCGAGTATAACATGGCCTCACAATGATCTTTTGCCTTCAATAAAGTTGGAGTTATGCAAGGAAAAATTACTGAAAGAAACAATATGTTGTCTCCTCAAGATACAGTAAAAATAATTCAGATTGAGGCAATACTTATTACTGTACCTCCTCAATTTCACGATCAATCTTCTGCTGCTTCTGTTGTTTCATTTCCTCTGTGGTTTTACCCAAGAATGCACCAAATGTAAAACTTAGGTCAGAATGCTCCAGCTGATAATAGTATAAGTGATAAATTTTAATCAAAAGAACATGTAATGGGATACAGCTTATGATAATGTTTGCACAAATTTGGTTTTGTCAATACATATCTAATATATGCAGTATATGTTCCACAGTTAAACACACAATTTCTTACCTTAAATTCAATTATTCCAACTCAAATTACATTAGCTTAAATTAGTGACACAAATAACTTTCTGATTAAGAAAACAACAAAGGAAAATACTTACCATTTCTCTATCAGCTTTTTTACTTGTTAAAGCATCAACTTGCGATTCATAATTTGCCTGAATGAGGTCTCTTCTTTTCAACACCAACTAGGGAAAGAAGTGTTAAATATTACCTTACAACTACATGTGAAGTGTAGTACGAGTACAGCAAATTCTTGACTAATTTCAGTAACATATGGAGTACACACTTACAATGCAGTTTCCCTCGACTTGTTAGCACTGAGTTGTATTAAAAATCTAAACAATACAGTAATTGCCAACAAATCTAGTACCTTAATTACTTTTGGAGTCAATAAAGCTGAACTGTCATTTCCAGGTTTTCCTTTGGCAGTTATGCACCCTGCACTAAAGTCTAACACCTTCTGTTACATCAATTAAAGTAACACCAAGATTACAAATTAAATACATGGGCACTTCAAAGTTCTAATGATTAATTTTGATAGCTATCAAAATTAAAAGTTGCTAGACATAATGCAAAAGCGATCATTTTCAGCAAGTGTGGTGCATTATAATGTTTACAGAATAAAAAGCTCAACTGCAAATGTGTTGAAGAAAATGTTTATAAAAACGGAAATAAAACTCAAGTTTAACCTCGCACCACTTTGGTATACAGGATGGAGCCCATATATACAGTAAAGAGATAGGAGCTCAGAACCAAAAGATATGTATAAAACAGAATTCCAAATACAGCACATTAGTATAACAGTTAAATATTAGAAGTAGTAAATACTTGATAGTATCCCTGAGGTTAATCTCTGACCAATGCATTTAACTACTCAAACAGAAATAATACATTACAATTATTATCTTCACTATTATAAATGCATTATTGAGAACATTGTGGTTATTTAGTTAAACATACTTGCCAAACTTGTTTTTAATTTCCAAAATTTCAATGAGAAGTTAGTCTTTTACATGTCTTACAAGGTCAAATGATAGATATTCAAATTACTATATTAATTATCCCAAGAACTTTCCAATTGTATGACTAATGTTTTTACAAAACAGTGAAGAAATTAAGCCTTTCTTTTCCAAAAAGCTATATAATACCTATGTTAATATGGGACTCTATCAAATCTTGTAAATTGTTTCTTCCATAATGTTTCTGCACTAGGTGCAGATCCTTTCTGGCTCATTCCATTGAAATAAACCGACAAGTGATTTGCATAAAGTCATTTAATCACTAACCTATCCTGGTTAGTAATTAAACCATCATCAAAAGGCCACAGCTATTGAAGAAGGTTATTATCTTGTGAAGGAAACTAGGGATGGATAATAACTGCAGCCTTGTCAACATCACCCTTAACCTAAGAACAAACCAAAAGAAGTCTGATGTGACACTACAGCAAAGCCTTGATTAGATTTTTTGTTTGCAAATAATTCTGAAATGTTAGCAATGAAACTTTTAAGTCAACTTAATTTTACGAAGCTCATGTCACCAATATCTACACACTGTGTAACCAGCTGAATTCATTTTGTTTTACTATATACAAGTGCAGAATGTGGAAGGAAATTATGAATACAAACTGGAAATCTTTTCTTTTGTAAAACAAAATAGCAGTTGTTCGCTGTCAAGTATTAAACACCACACTTCAACTACAAAGCACAAGCAAATCCAATTAAAATAAGCCTATGATTTGACCGCATTTGCCATAATCATCTTACGACCTTAGGATTTAAATTAAAAAATAACTACCTTTAGAGTTTCTGCACATAGAACATATTCATGTAAGGCAGGAAGTAAATCCTCCGAGAGGCCTATTGTAAGTCCTTCAATAGCCTTGCAGCAGTTTTCAATAGAACTAGCTACTCCTTTCAAAGGTTCAGCCAAATCCTGTTCAGATTCCGACCACAGAGTATAAATGGGACTGTATTCCTTCATCTCAGTCAAGTGCTCTTTACAAGCAAAAGAAAATAAAATAGTTGATCCGTTTCTTCTCATCAGCCTCGAAAACATCAAAGAATCACAATCAGGCATTGAAATGCACACATCCAAAATAGCTCACCTATTTGGATAGATTGTCAAGGCAAGTTTTATTTTAAGAACAGCGAAATTGAAAAAGGGAAACGATACAGTGGAAGCTGTGGAAGATGATGTTGCAGTTTTACAAAAATGAGTTACCAGCATGTTGTATTTATAAGATTGCCTTACTTAAGCAATTGAGGAGGATGCTGGACACCTTGGGTGTGTGTGTGTGTATGTGTGTGGGCGTGCGCACGCGTGTGTTCAGGGCAATTTTCCCGAGTGAAAGACTTTCAATTAGGTTCCAACCAGGAACAGGATAACACACTGTAAAGTCTTTAGTCCAGAAAGCTTGGGACCAAGACATTTTCTGGCATCCAGCGTGTCAGAATAATGTTAGAATGCTTAACCACAACAGAATGAACCTGATATAGATAGGTACCAGAGACATAAATGCAACAAAACATTTTAAAGCAGTAATAAAATTTTACATATCCTAATGCTGTATTTTCTACAGTATACTGCATGCCAAAATTAGAAAACATATTTATCAGCAAGTGCCAAGCAGACCTGGAATACTTGTGCACTAACTTGACCCAGCCAGAGGTCAACAAATGTAACTCTGACTACCTCAGTGCTGGAAAAACCAGAAATCCATGCACCTGAACCAGAAAAGCATGCACAGATTACAAACTTTGCTACATTTCCATTCCTGTCTGCCCACTGTACACAGTCTTCTCACCCAAAGGTTAAGGGCAGGCAGAGGCAAGACAAAAAGTTGGGAACAAACACTGTTTGTTCCATGGTAGAGCTGATTTGCATGCCTTTGCGAGTGCCTGTCTGTCCTCATACACCTGGGTATGGATTGGTAGGGATACCGGCTGATTTCTACTATTCATGACCAGCTGCAGTAGAAAATGGAGTACCAACCTTTCAGTTCCTTTAAAATTCTTTGGCTGATTTTATCCAATGTTCCCATTTTCTGACGGAAAATATCCACATAGTCACTCATCGCTGTGAATTCATCAGGTCGATTCTTAATGCTTCTGACCGTATTAGCAACAGCCTTGAATGTTTCTCCCATTTTACTGATGAATCCTGGACCAAGTTTCTTGTGAGGTGCCAAATCCTACATTAAAGAAAGTAACAGTGAATAACCTAATAGGGAAAATAATGATATACAATCTCTGAGGAAATTGAGAAGGAATGGACGAGATAGGGGCATTGAATAGTAGCCACTCATTCACCATCTTAAACTAATCAATTAGATGACTGCTAATCTGTATTTTCATCTGTAAGCCTTATTTCCAAAATACTTTTTCCTTACAAAAACCTACCAATCCCAATTTTGAAGTTTTCAAATTACCTAGCTGCAACAGATTTTTTGGAAGAATTCTGCATTTATTGTGTGAAGAAAAGATTCCCGTCATTACCAATATATGGCCTGCCTCTAAATGTTAAAGTTATGCCCTTTTGTGGATTGCCACACAATTGAAAATAAGATCAATAAGATAGAATCAAATGTTAATCATATTAGACCACAGATGATATAAAATTTAATCACAAAACCTAATCTTAATCTCCTCTAAAATATTTGCAGAATACCAAAATGTACTATTGCTCTAGACTTGCTTATTGGGGCCACAAAATGCCAATTAAATTTTAGGTGGAGGCATGCTTGGTGGTAGATTTTAGGAGAAAGACTAAAGAAGAGGTTATGCACACCAAGTGATAAAGCTTTGATATGAGTAAAGGATCAAAGACTTGGAATCAAGATAATAAATTGTTGAGAGAGGAAAGATTTTGATAAAACTATACAAAAAAGAAACTGAGTACGAATACAAGGAAAAACTGTTCTATAGACTGCCAATAGGCTGCAGTTAGAATACGGATGTCCAGCTTTGGGCATCTCAATTTAGGAAAGGTATTTCAAGTCAAAAAGCATACAGAAGATGCTTCAAGATGGTGACGCTGGCAAAGTAGGCAGCATCCGGGCTCCTGGGCTCATCCGCTTCATACCAGCCACTTTCTCCCTTCGTTCCTTTCCTTCATCTTCTTCTTGTTAGTGGCGGCACAGAAGGTGACATCATGAAGAAAGGCAGCCAAAGCTGGTCTCTTGGAGAAACAGGGACTCCAGGCAGCAGCGGCAGCACAGACAGAAACGTCTGACTGCGGTAGGCCCAGAGCAGGGACTCCTGGTCATCAGCTAGGTGGATGCGGTGGCAGCAGAGCCAGGGCTTTTTGGGAGAGAGTGTGGGTCAGCATGGGAACTGGCATTGATGGCCCGTTGGCGAGGTGGGCCCAGTGATGAAGAACTGGTGCCTAAAAAGAGTGGTGACTCTGAATTTGGTGGGTCCGGCACAGGGGTCTGAGGGTGCTGGCGCAGATGTCATTGGTGAGCTGGTTCTGGGACCAGGACTCGTGGCGGAATGAAAACAGACTCCTATGATGCTGCTTGGCCTGCTGTGTTCATCCAGCCCTGCACCTTGTTGTCTCGGATTCTCCAGCATCTGCAGTTCCTACTATCCCTTTCAACTCTACCTTTTTATTCTTAAACTTTCAAAATGGCACCAGACTGTGGCAACAGTTGAAGCTTTTCACAGTATTTTTACTATGTTGTTCATTGTAGACAAGTGACAATAAATCATTCTTTCAGAAGAAATAACTAAATTCAAATGTTGTCAAAGTGTCTGAGGAGAAGCTAGCAAAACTGGGCTATTTTCTTTAGAACAAAGATTGTTACAAGGTGATCTGACACAAGTGTTCAAGATTTATTTTATGGTGCAGTAAATCAGGAAAATCTATTTTCATTAGCAATTAATTCAATATCTGGAAGGTATAAATTGAACACCATCAAAAGATTGACAGTAAAGTTCATCATAAGCATACAGAATGTTGATAGACATGTTCAAATGTTCCCAAGACAGGTGAAGGCAGACTTCTTAAGTGTTAATAGGACAGAACTGAATAAATATTCAAAAAAGAAAAATCAAAACTTATGGAACAGCTGAGAGATTGTGTACATTTAGCCCCAGTCTTTCAGAGCAAAAGAGCCTCTTTCTGAACTGCAAAATCCTATTATTCATATAAACTTGTAATGCTAAGGCTACAGTGTCTCAGAATCATTGAATTTCAGAACAATGTAAGCTACAGCATAGCTTTTCTTAATATTCTTAAGAACATCAAACCAGATCATGCTATTGTCCCAATGCTTATATTAGTGAATGTTCCACAAAATTTCCTTTTGCCTCCACATTTGGCCCCCCATGGGAGGAGACTGATAATTCTTGGCACGAGTCCAGAAACATTAAGAAGAAACTTGCATTAGGATTTAGTCAGAGATAACAAGGTGTAGAGCTGGATGAACACAGCAGGCCAAGCAGCATCAGAGGAGCAGGAAAGCTGACGTTTCGGGTCTAGGCCCTTCTTCAGAAAAAATTCCGAAAAAATTCTTCAGATTTAGTCAATTACTTTCTGGACTAATGATGATAAATCCTAACATATGACAATAGCTTAGGGACATCCAAAATGATGGTCAAAACTACAGAATGGGATTGCAGGTTCCTATTTGCTAGAATTCGCAACCGCTGAAAATCTGTAAAGTACACCACTACAGCAAGCCAAGAGGAGCATATATAGTGGCCTGCAAATAGGCCAAGGAGAAAATATGGGGTAACGTACACATCATTCACTAGACACACATTTACCAAGTAAAACATTTAGAATAGAAGTATATTAGTTGTCTTGTAGATATCACCACATTCTTCTATTGCTTTCAGTATCAACATTTGCTTCAGAGAATGAACAAACTTAACGCGTATTAAAGGTTTGGACTGGAGGACTTCTATCATTACGATTTGAACATTACACTTGGATCTCCAGCTGATTCACCGTTTCCATGTCCTTTCCCAAGAGTGCTAGAATTGGTTACCATGAAGGTCCTACCATTCAGCCTCACCCCTCCCCTGAAACATTGACCCTCAGATTAAACTCACCACCAGTCATGTGTAATGAGAGAGCAGCCCTATGGTCTTCTGGGACTGTGATGACTTTACCTGGGATCTACATTGTGCATTTTCAATGCTTTTTCTAAACTACTCATTGCGGAGTTCAGGGTGCAAATCAGAGTTTAGTTTTTTGTTGTGGGTGACTGTGATGTCAAAGAACCCCAGTGTGTTTGGGAATCGCAGGAGAAAACTCTGTTGATCAAAGTTGGACTAAACGATGGAAGATAGTTCTGGTTGTTAGAGGTAAATCATCTCATCCATAGGACGTCACTACAGAAGTTTCGTAAGGTAGTGTCCTAGGTTCAATCAGAAGTTCAGAAGGGTATGTTGGGTCAGGGTCTGGGTCATGACAGCGAGTTAAGTAGTAGGTCAGTTTAATAGTTACTCAGGAGTTAGACTATGTATTTAATAGTTTAACTTTTACTGAGTAACTATTTTACTTAATTTCATCAGAATCTTCGATTTTATGGAAATTTTTTGTCGGCTTCTAGGTATAGTGAAATTGCCCAGCATAAAATTCAATTGCCCAGGCAATCCCTTCAGATTGTTACAATGGGGATTTCATAGGGATCCTGATCTACACCCACATATCAACTCTATGCCCAGAGGAAAATCTACTCCAATGATATAATGAAATTCAACTAAATCTCAAACAGATCTGCTATTCTGAGAAACAATTGTACTTGAGAAATACCAACTTAAGTATGGTTTGATGCACTGAAAACACAAAATACGTTTTATTGGGCAATGTTTTAAAGCATGTAGCTACACAATTTTGTACTTTTTAAAAATTTATTCACTTGTGGGACATGGGCACTGGCTGGGCCAGCATTTATTGTCCATTGCTAGTTGCCATTAAGCTGGTGGTGAACTGCCTTCTTGAACTGCTGCAGTCACACCCACAATACTATTTCAGAGGGAATTCTAGAATTTTGATCCAGTGACAACAAAGGAATGGCAAAGCATTTCTAAGTCAGAGTCGTTTGGAGGGGAGCTTGCAAGTGTTGTTCCCACGTATCTGCTGCCCTTGTCCTTTTAGAAGGAAGTGGTTGTGGGTTTAACAAAGTGCGATCAAAGGATCTGTCATGAATTTCTGCAGTGCAACTTGTAGATGATACACACTGTTACTACAGAGCGCCAACGGTAAAGGGAGTGCATGTTTATGGTCTAATGTCAATCAAGCAGGCTGCTGCATTCTGAATGGTGTCAAGTTCTTAAGTGTTGCTAGGGCTGTACTCATCCAGGTAACTGGGAAGCATTCCATCACACTCCTGACCCGTGCCTTGTAGATGGGAGACACATTCTGAGGAGTCAGGAGTTACTCACTGTGGTATTCCTAGCCTCTGACCTGCTCTTGTAGCCACTGTATTTATATGGCAAGTCCAGCGGAGTTTCTGGTCAATGATAACGCCCAGGATGTTGACAATTACGGATTCAGTGATAGTAAAGCCATTAAATGCCATGGGGCAATAGTTAGTCTGCCTCTTATTGGAGTTGTTCAGTGCCTGACATTTGTATGGCACAAATTCTACGTCACTTTTCAGCTTAAAGCTAGATATTGTCCAGATCTTGCTGCACACAGACTGTTGCACTATCTGAAGATTCACGAATGGTGCTGAACACTGTGCAATCATCTGATTTTATGATGGACAGAAGGTGTTGATGCAGCAGCTGAACATGGTTGCACCTAGGACTCAAATCTAAGGAACTTTTGCAAATACAATGAATGCAGAGGAACAGAGTTAACCCATACCTGTACTGTTAGAAATATTTTGAAATTTTCATTAAAAGACAGAGTGGGATGGTCAGCAATTCGATTTAAAAATTTATGTAGTGCCTTTTGCCGTGTTGCTACGAAATCTTCATTGAAGCGTTCCACCATGCCCCTCATTACAAATTTCTCTGGCAACGGCTAAGCAAAAAGAGAAAATTAAAACTATTTTTACATTCACATAATTATATAAATACTCATCCACAATGAATTGTAGCACCACTGCAGTTTTATTCTGACAACTTATTTCAAAATAAGACTGCCAAAATAAAAAAAAACTTTATTTAAGTCAATTCCAAAATGCATCTGAACTCCAAATGCATTGAATTTATGGGAATGATTGACATTTTTGGCTAAAATAGCATGAGACTAAAAGAATTCCTGTAATAGCATTCAAAAATAATAACACTGGTGTGATTAACTTGTTCAAGTTTGTATTCTCTGTGGTTTACAATCTAATCAATAACAATAACACCATTGTCAATTATTGACAGGGTTCACTTGAATGATAACCACTTTGATGCACAAAAATCATATTCAAGACAGCTTTGTGCCTTCGGGGAGGTCGAAGGTGGGGAGCACAAATTAAGGATAGAAAACCCGAAAAAAATAAAGACATTTTATTAGAAAATGTACTTGTTATATTGACAAGCTTGTTCTTATAGCAATCATGCCCATGAAATAAACAAAATATCCCAAGAACAATCAAATGGTTATTTTGTTTGCTTGCAAGCATCAAAACTGCAAGGCTATATTTATCTTAGTTGCAAAATAAGGTCTGTGAGGTTATGCTATCACTATGATTTGCTCCATAGTTTGAACCACAGTCAGAACACAAATGCATACAAACTGCAGACAAACAGTAAATAATCTATAGCAGAAATAAAATTCATGTTCCACACAATCATGCTAAGCACATTTCATAAACAAACCTGCTGAGAACATCCATTGATGACAACTGGGCTACTAATCTGGCAATAAGTGATTGCTTTCCACTCCAGATTCCTGCTTGCATTCAAGTGTCACAAAGGTTTCAATGTCATGAAAATTGAAATAGAAAACATGCAAAAACACACCTGGGACAGGAAAAATTTAATCAAAGGCATTTCTTCTATAAAGGATCATGTACACAGGTTCTGTTTCTTAAAAATCTACATATTCAGTAATTACTACACATTGTGATCACCAAGTTTTACAACTACACACCTTGAAAGCTCAATGAATAACTGGATTACACAATAGGAGTTGGAGATTCGGTTGCTGATTTGAATCATTCAGTGCTCACTCACACTGCAGAAACAGCAGCACTAATTTAATCAGGACATAAAAACCCACTCACAATCCTGTGCAACCACAAAAGTTGGGCTAGCAAGGTTAAACAAATATTCTGCAGTTTTGCTTGATCTTAGGGAATGCAGCCTAGAAACAACAGCAGAGGGAAAAAAAAATCACAGAACTTTTCCCACACAGAAACTTTCTAGATTTAAAACAGGCCAACACATGTGACTTGTGGAACAAATCAAGCCAATCAACCACATGAACACTGTTGTGGCTCAACTGACCAACTTCAAGCTCTCCAAAGCACAACAACCAGTTAAAGGTTTGAGGGCTAATCACAGTGATTTCTCTGTGCTACTCAACTATTTTATTAACTTCTTCTATCATCGTTTTGTACATCAATGTCTTTACCTGTTATTCTATTTGCTTGTTTTCTACTCGTTTAACCATATCTACCTCTATTACTCTTTCCTTGTCAGTTTTCTGTTTATCTACATTTTCAAACCTTGAGTGTTTTGGTTGTACTCCATCTTTTTCTCCTTGTTATGATCTTCAGACAAGGTGACCCGAATTAGCTGGAGCAATCATGGAAAAAAATGTAGCACAAGACAAGCCAAGGGGAGTGAATACAAGAAAACACCATGTTGTGCAAGTTCCTCATCAAGCTATTCACCAACCTAACATGGAACTAAATTGCTGTTCCTTCACCGTTCCTAGATGCAGATCTTAGAACTCCTTCCCTACAAAACATTGTGGCTGTACCCACACCAAATGGACTGCAGAGTTACAGGGAGGCAGCTCACAACCACGTTCTCATAGGCAATTGGGGATGGTCAATAAACGCTGGTCCAGTCAGCAAAGTCCACATTGCCTAAACGAATAACAAAATAAGATTAAAGCTGGGATAGTAGGAACTGCAGATGCTGGAGAATCCGAGACAACAAGGTGCAGGGCTGGATGAACACAGCAGGCCAAGCAGCATCATAGGAGCAGAGAGGCTGACGTTTCGGGCCTAGACCCTTCATCAGAAAAGGGGGAGGGGAAGGGGGTTTTGAAATAAATAGGGAGAGAGTGGGAGGCGGATAGAAGAGGGATAGAGGAGAGGATAGGTGGAGAGGAAACAAACAGGTCGAAGAGGCGGGGATGGAGCCAGTAAAGGTGAGTGTAGGTAGGGAGTTAGGAAGGGGATAGGTCAGTCCAGGGAGGACGGACAGGTCAAGGGGGCGGGATGAGGTTGGTCGGTAGGAGATGGAGGTGCGGCTTGAGGTGGGAGGAGGGGATAGGTGGGAGGAAGAACAGGTTAGGGAGGCAGGGACGAGCTGGACTGGTTTTGGGATGCGGTAGGGGGAGGGGAGATTTTGAAACTTGTGAAATCCACATTGATACCATTGGGCTGCAGGGTTCCCAAGCGGAATATGAGTTGCTGTTCCTGCAACCTTCGGGTGGCATCGTTGTGGCACTGCAGGAGGCCCAGGATGGACATGTCGTCTGAGGAATGGGAGGGGGAGTTGAAATGGTTCGCGACTGGGAGGTGCAGTTGTTTGTTGCGAACCGAGCGTAGGTGTTCTGCAAAGCGGTCCCCGAGTCTCCGCTTGGTTTCCCCGATGTAGAGGAAGCCACACCGGGTACAGCGGATGCAGTATACCACATTGGCAGATGTGCAGGTGAACATCTGCTTGATGTGGAAAGTCTTCTTGGGGCCTGGGATGGGGGTGAGGGAGGAGGTATGGGGGCAGGTGTAGCACTTCCTGCGGTTGCAGGGAAAAGTGCCGGGTGTGGTGGAGCTGGAGGGGAGTGTGGAGCGGACAAGGGAGTCACGGAGAGAGTTGTCCCTCCAGAAAGCAGATAAGGGTGGGGAGGGAAAGATGTCTTTGGTGGTGGGGTCGGATTGCAGATGGCGGAAGTGTCGGAGGATGATGCGTTGGATCCGGAGGTTGGTGGGGTGGTACGTGAGGACGAGGGGGATTCTTTTTTGGTTTTTATTGCGTGGACGGGGTGTGAGGGATGAGGTGCGGGAGATGTGGGAGACACGGTTGAGGGCGTTCTCGACCACCGAGGAGGGGAAGTTACGGTCCTTGAAAAACGAGGACAACTGAGATGTACGGGAGTGGAATGCCTCATCCTGGGAGCAGATGCGGCGGAGGCGAAGGAATTGGGAATAGGGGATAGCATTTTTGCAGGAAGGTGGGTGGGAGGAGGAGTATTCTAGGTAGCTGTGGGAGTCGGTGGGCTTGAAATGAATATCGGTTTCTAGGTGGTTGCCCGATATGGAGATAGAGAGGTCCAGGAAGGGGAGAGAGGTGTTAGAGATGGTCCAGGTAAACTTAAGGTTGGGGTGGAAGGTGTTAGTGAAGTGTATGAACTGTTCGAGCTCCTCGTGGGAGCACGAGGCGGCGCCGATACAGTCATTAAAGCTGGGATGGATTTGGGTTAAATCCTGTAGCATTAATTTAAAATTAATCACAGTGCTGTCCATGAAATGGGGAAGGCCTAGTCTGTTAATTTTTGATGGCTAGAAAACATTTTAGACAATTTTCATCTTAGGAAGGGAAGGTTACTAGGTTTGACACTTTTTCTGGTAAGTGATTATGCAATTAATGCACAAAGTCAGAAGTTTATTTGTAAGCATCAACAGTGAAGTGCATGCCAATCTATTAAGGTGTCCCTACTCCAAGAATCCATTTATAGAAATAACGTCTGCATTTTTGTGAATGAATCAAATCGTATCATATATGACACTATATTCGTAGCTCTGATCTCCAACTTCTGGAATCTGATTGCTTAACTATAACCTTGGGTTCAAAGCTATGACTGCTAAGATTGAAATGGTTGAAGAAATTGAACTCTTGAACAGAGATCTGATTATTCTTATGTGAAGGATTTTTTTCTTCCCTCACACAAATTGTCACAATGTACCACTGAGTACACGTATGCAGCAAAACCCTTTAAAAAACAAAAAAAATGTTTTTTGGAAGCTTTGGAAAGATCCCAGTATAATCGAACATACAATCTGGTAGACATATTAAACTTACAGGAACAATTAAAGTAGAATGTGCTTCTTCAAGTTTGTCCTTTAGCCACAAGAAATCTTGATAACGTCTACGAACCTCATACTCACAGGAGTCAAACTCACTTCGAGTCGTCTATAAAACGAGTGACATTATTAAGCAGAGAACAACAGTACAAATTATTTTGAAATGGATAAATACTTAAAAGTGGGCTATTGCACCACAATCCATACAAACATTCCTTTGGGACAAATTGTTGAAAACTACCATACTATACGAGAACTTACAGTACAGATGATTAAAAATAATATTTAATCAGGTAATTAAATCACGTTAATAGCATAAAAGGAAACATAATTGAAACTGGATAGTTGTGAGAAGTAGAGGATGGTAGCAAAAGAATCAAAATCAGAAACTGCTGGAAAAACTCAGCAAGTCTAGCTGCATCTGTGAAGAGAAAGCAGAGTTAATGTTTTGGGTCCAGTGACCCTTCTTCAGAACAGCAAAAACAATCTCTAAAATGTAGTCTACTCTTGGAGTTAATTCAAATAAAATTACTCAAAGCAGTATGAATGCAACCTTTTAAAATAACAAAATTATCAATTCATTCCACTCTCACACTCTTCCAATATTTTTATTTTATTTTACCTCCTGTATTCTTGAAAATATTTTCTTCTGAAATAGTTGCAATGAAGGGTAGAAGCCCTCAACTATCTGTATTAAATGACCATTTTTCACATGCTTACACAGCGAACATCTGCTTAATACACAAGACTGGCTGGTCACATCCAGTTGTAAATGAAGACGGTAAATAACCACCTATCAAAGGTTCAATGAAGAGTGCAGAAAGGGCATATCAGCAACATCAGCAGTTGCTGGAAAAGCTCAGTAGGTCTGGTAGCATCTGTGAAGAAAAAGAATCTGAGTTAACTCTGATTTTTTTCTTCACAGATGCTGCCAGAGCTGCTGAGCTTTTCCAGCAACTTCTGTTTTTGTTCCTGATTTACAGCATCCGCAGTTCTTTCGGTTTTTATATCAGCAATAGCACCTGATGTACCTAAAGATGAGGTATCAATCTTGTGAAACTACAACATGGGACTACTTGTATGCCAAACAGGGCAATCTGCAAGGTTGAGAAAACGGCTAAGCAAGTCCACAAGCAACAGATCAAATCGAAGCTCTGCAGTTCTGCCTCATCCAGTCATGAATGGTGGTGAACAACTAAATAACTCACTAAGAGGAAGCTCCACAAATATCCCAGTTCTCAATAATGGATAACCTCAGTGCAAAAAAATAAGGCTGAAGCATTCGCAAAAATATTCAGTCAGAATTGCCAAGTGAATGAACTGGCACAGCCTCCTCTGGAGATCTCCAACTTCAGAGATGTAAGTCCTCAAACAATTTGATTCGCTCTACATGACTTCAAGAAATGGCTGAAGACATTAACATTGGCAGTATCCACGGACCCTGGCAAAATTCCAGCAATAGCGTGCTCCAGAACTTGCCATGCACTGAGCCAAGCTGTTCCAGTACACCTACAACAATTCAATCTGCTTGAATGCAGAAAACTGCGGAATGCGGCATATTCCGTCAGTTGTAGGACAAATCCAAACTGGCCAATTACTGCCCCAGTCTACTCTAAATTACCAGTAAAGAGCAGTGCTGACTTCACAATAACATGCTCACTGATGCTTAGTTTGAGTTCCTCCAGGGCCATTCAGCTCCTGACCTCATTACAGCTTTTGATCAAACATGGACAAAAAAAAGAGAGAGGAAGTGCAATGAGGAGACAGTGCCTCACATCAAGGCTGCATTTTGACTAAGTATGGCATTAAGGCAAAACTTGAATCAATGGGAATCGGGGGAACTCTCTACACATTGTAGCCATAACAAGCACAAAGAAAGATAGCTGTGTTTGTTGGAAGTCAGTCAGTTCAGCTTCAGGACAACTCTGCAGGAGTTCCTCAGGGTAGTGCCCTAGGCTCAATCATCTTTTAGTTGCTTCCCCAATAATATCCCTTGCAACAAAAGATCAGAAGTGGGGATGTTCGCTAATGATTGCGAAACATTCAGCACATTCATGAGATACTGAAGCAATTCATGTTCAAATGCAGCAAGACTTAGACAACAGGCTTTGGCTGAAAATTAGCACGTATTATTCATGTCATACAAATAACAGGTGAACAACCATCTCCAACAAGACAGAATCTAGCTATCATCTCCTTACATTCAATGTCTTTGCCATCACTGAATCTCCGACTATTAACATCCTGGAATTACAACTGGCCAGAAACTGGCTAAAAATCCTGCAGCGACTAATATACTTCCCAACTTGCCACCATCTATAAGACAAGACAGGAGTGTGATGGAATACTACTTGCCTAGATGAATGCAGCTCCAACAATTGTCGAGAAGATTGATACCATCCAGGACTAAGCAAGCCACTTGACTGGCACCACATCCATAAAAATTCACTCCCTCCACCTCTGTAGCAGCAGTGTACACTGCAGAATTTCACCAAGACTCCTTAGACAGCACCTCCTAATTCCACATCTATCGTAATCTAGAAGGACAAAGACAGCAGATTCATGGTACCATCGCTTGTAACTTCCTCTACAAGCCACACACCATCTTGATTTGGAAATATATTGCCATTCTTTCACTGTTTCTGGGTCAAAACCCAGAACACACTTTCTAATAACATTATATATCAAGTAGTCCGTAACCATTCAAGAAGTCTCACCACCTCTTTAATCAAGGGTAATTAGTGATAGGCAATAAATGCTGGCCCAGCCATCGAAGCCCAATCCCATTAATTAATTCAAACACAGAGGCTGAATGACTCTATGGAGAGCCTGATCTTCAGTCATGGGGAAGACCAGCATAATGTACAAAATACAAGACTGAATAATTTTCAACCATACTGTGTTAGAAGGGGTTGAGTGGATGATCTATCTCAACCTCCTCCCAAGGTGCTTACCAAGACAGATGTTTTTCACCTATTCAACTTAATTTGCATGACTTCAAAAAACAGCCCAGCACAATGGAACAACAAAGGCTATGGGTCTTGATGAGATACTGGTGGTAATACTGAAAACTTCTGCTCCACAAGGACAGCCACTTCAAGACAAGCTGTTTCAGAATTACAACACTGGCATTTACTGACAAAGTGTAAAATGCTGTGGTATGGCCCTACCATAAAAATAAAATTTAATGCAGCTAATGCAAACTCTTGCCTCATGGCTTATTCTCAAATAAGCAGTGAAGCCATTGAGGGAACCCATGTTGGGACTATGAAGTGGCACTTCCTCAGCAATTTCCTCTCCACAATGGTCAAAAACGCCCTCGACCGCATCTCTTGCGCTTCCCGCCCCTCAGCCCTCACACCCCCTCCCCACAATAACAACAAAGACAGAATTCCCCTTGTCCTCACGTATCACCCCATCAACCTCCGGATTCAACGTATCATTCTTCGCCACTTCCGCCACCTGCAATCTGACCCCACTACCAAGGATATACTTCCCACCCCACCCTTATTTGCCTTCCGGAGGGACTGCTCTCTCCATGACTCCCTCATCCGTTCCACACTCCCCACTAGCCCCACCACCCCCGGCACCTTTCACTGCAACCGCAGGAAGTGCTACACCTGCCCCTACACCTCCCCCCTCACCCCCATCCCAGGCCCCAAGAAAACCTTCCACCTTAAATAGATGTTCACCTGCACATCCGCTAATGTGGTATACTGTATCTGCTGTTCCCGATTTGGCCTCCTTTACATCGGGGATACCAAGCGGAGGCTTGGAGACCGCTTTGTAGAGCGCCTACGCTTGGTTCGTGACAAACGACAACACCTTCCAATCGCAAACCACTTCAACTGCCCGTCCCACTCCTTGGACGACATGTCCATCCTGGGCCTCCTCCAGTGCCACAACGATGCCACCCGAAGGCTGGAGGAACAGCACCTCATATTCCATCTGGAAACCCTACAGCCCAATGGTCTCAATGTGGACTTCACAAGCTTCAAAATCTTCTCACCACCGACTTCATCCCAAGACCAGCCCGTCTTTTCTCCCACCTATCCGCTCCTCGCACCTCACTGACCAACCCCCACCCCAACTTCCTACCTACTAGCCTCAACCCTGCCTCCTTGACCTATCCGTCTTCCCTCCCACCTACCCACGACCCCCTCCTCACTGACCAACCCCCATCCCAACTCCCTGCCTACACTCACTTGTACTGGCTTCATTCCTGCCTCCTTGACCTGTTCGTCTACTCTCCACCTATCTGCTCCTCTATCCACCTTCTATCATCGCCTCACCCTCTCTCTATTTATTTCATTTCACTTTCCCTCCCCCATTTCTGAAGAAGGGTCCAGACCCGAAATGTCAACTTTCCTGCTCCTCTGATGCTGCCTGGCCTGCTGTGTTCATTCATCTCTACACCTTGTTATCTCAGGCTCCAGCATCAGCAGTTCCTACTATCTCTGACTTTCTCAGCAATATCTTGCTCATTGATCAGCTCCTTCAAGATCAGATTTCATTACAGCTTTGGTTCTGAAATAGATAAAAGAGCTGAACCCCAGAAGGGAGGCATAGACGATTGCCTTCAAAGCAGCATTCAACAGCACATTGTTATAATATAAATACAAATATTATTTGAGAACTTGTACTCAAGTGTAAGAAAAGCTGATTTATTATTTTAATAGAGAAGATCTGATTTTTTTGAAAGTCACTTTGAAAATTGAGCTCAAAATCGATTTAACAAGAATTCATGTGATTTCTGCTAAATGACAAGCAAGCCATTTGAGGAGATAGTTGCCAAGGAATTTCCTGGCTTGACATTATTATCAGATAAAGCGAAAGAAAAGGGGGTCAAAAGCAGGTTTATGCAGGATTAAGGGGCACAGAACTGCAGAGGTGCTTTATTTGCAGTCTCCAAACAGTCAGGGCTGAGGAGAAGACCAGAGTGGTTTAGCATTCATTGAGATGGTGGTTGTGGAGTTGTGGAGGAAGATATCCTACAAGCCTGTTGTAGACGTGTTCAGGGAACCCATGCTAAATACAAATTAGCTAAGTTAGCAGCTTGTTGTAAAGATCTCTCTTAGAGACATTAACTGAAGAAAATAGCATTGAACA